CAGGAGGGAATAAACACAGCCTTTCCAGCTTTCATAAAGAACAAACAGCTCACATGTCCAAAAAACTGTGTCTCTACAGCTGTGTTAGCTGAACTAATCACATATATTCCTTTCTCTGCAAACCCTGAGAACAACAGTTGTTTAGGTGATGTCGGAAAGACTATTTGTTTTTGCTGCTTATTTAGTTTATTTGCACTCTGGTCACTAGATAAAGTAAACTGAAACAGGAAAGGGAGGGGAGTTTATCTTTTCTATTCCTTTTCTTTAAGTCTCCAATGTATTGACATACGTTTTACTTTTTTAACTCATTACAATTTCTTGGTATCAAGAATTTAAGGCAGAATATGAAGGTTTGATTCTTCTTCCACCACAACTGATATGACTAATCACTTTGGATGAGACATTTAGTAATGTGAACTGGAGTATGCTGAAAAAAAATCAGTCATTAGGGTCAATGTTTTCAAAAATGTCTAGTAATTTTAGTTGGTGCCATTTTTCATGCTCAACTCGTAACACTTGAAAGTGTCCAAACTTTGGGTGGGCAGCAGTGTTTGTGCTGTATCCTCTGATGTCTGCATTTGAGGATTGATGCTGCAAAATTGGATAAGATTCCTGTGAAGATTTTAACAGGGAAAGCAAAACTCATGCATAAAAGCAAAGCAAAACAAGGAATTCATTAATCCCTTCCCATTGGTATGTAGGTTTTCATACATCTCTAGTAAAGCAGGGCTCTGTGATGTTTAATGGTGATTTGGGAGGACAAACACCATCACTCTGAATGCCCTCCACTTCCCTTCCTCTTTCCCCAGCTTTATGTGCTGAGCATGATGCCATATGGTGTGGGATATTCCTTGGATCAGTTAAGGTCAGCTGTCATGGCTGTGACCCCTCCCAATCCTTCTGCATCCTCAAACTCCTCTCTGGTGGGGTGGTGTGAGGAAAGGCTTTGACTGTGTGTCAGAACTGCTCACCAATGACTAAGAAACCCTTGAATTATCAACACCGTTTCCAGAAAAAAATGCAAAACACAGCTCCATACCAGCTACTATGAAGAAAATGAAATTTATCCCAGCCTAGAGCAGGACAGTTCAACGGGACTCTACTTTTGGGAATCAAGTAAAAACTACTGGAAAAACTCAGCAGGATGAAGTGTCTCTTCACCCTGAGCTATGTGGTGTTTCTCTATAGGATACACATTAGTACATTTATACCTATGGGATCTGAAATGGATTAGGAAAGGTACTCAAGAGGTGAGACAAAACATATAGTATTGCAAGCTCATATCCTTCTTTTCTCATCATAAGTAGTTCATTTTTTAAAAATATTTTTGAGCTTAGAAGCTGACAAATGTAATTCTGTTGAATTAGAGCTTAATTACACCAGTGAGAAGCGAACTACTCCGGGATTTGCTGTGGTTTATTATTTACATAGGTAAAAGTCTTCAAGTGCTGAATTTCTGAAATGACAATTCTGAATGGCAAAACCACATAAAAGCACTAGGAGCAGTTTGTGACTTGGAGGGAAAAATGTAATCAGCAATTTTCCAGGCTGGATTCCCTCAGTGGAATCGATAATGTTGCAAACGAGCATTTATCCAAATCCAACTAAAACACCTTGGCAGTTGCAGAGGGTAAACAAAATTTTCATCACCCTTAGAAAAATGGATGTTATTTAAGCAATTATTAGCAAATTTTTTATGATCTGTAGTGGGACAGCAGGAAACAGAAAAGAGCTAAGTTAACTTTGCATAAATGATCAGAATGAAGAACATTGTGTGACTTTATAAGCCCAGCAGGGAGGCTTCACTAGATTCTTCATCTTTGGCTAATAATAAAAATTGAGCATTTTTTTACTAGCAGGTGTCCTTGACCTCAGTGAGCCCTAATTTGTAAACATCCTTTCTACAGCTGTGTGAGCTTTGAAGTATCCAACTTCTCATCACTATCCAAGATTTGACTTCAGAGTTTTCTCCTGTTCATCTTTGGACTCATCCAGGAGCCCTGAAGTACCAATCAAATTCTGTGTTTTTGACATCTTCATAATTAGATTTCTTTTACAACAATGAGTGATTTTTCAGGGATTTCAGGTTCCAGAAGGCAGAGATGATTTGAGATACTTGGATTTGCTGCAGTGTGTAATGTGAAAGTGGTTTACAAATTGCTGTGTTGTGTGTGCCATTCAAACCAATGATTGCCTTTACTTCTATGGTCTAATTTGTGTCTGTCTCTCTTTCATGTCTTTTATACCACAGAGAGCAGCACCAATGCATTCCAAATTTTTCTGCTTGCTTTGAGCCACTTTTATTCTCAAATTCCATTATGAATTAAGAGTGAGGAGTGCCTGATGAGGAAGGTATATTCAATGCCAGCAACTAGGTTGCTGAAAGAGTGCTACATTAATATCTGCTTCATAGGTGCACTTCCTTGAGTTTGGGAGCAAAGATTTTCTTCTGTAATGCAGGTACTGTGTTGAGAGTCATGCATAGCCAGGTCAGGAAGATATTGAGTTCATTTTTCCTTCACCAGTCTTTTCTTTTCCACTTTCTTCAGGATTGGTGATACAGAGAAAACAATGTGAGCCTCATCACTGTTGTTTGTGTCACCAGTGTATTCTTCCATGAGGTGAAATGTATTTTGAGGAACATATTTTTCTATACAATGTTTTTTTGGCTGTTCAAGACTGGATTAGCACCAGTGCAATCAAGGTCAAAGAAGTAAAAATGGATCTGCCAATGCAACGGACTGCTAGAGCTATAGGTTAAATTCTCAGCAAGTACATAGTGTAGCAGGTCCAAAAGGCACTACTGAAGCAAAACCAGACTTCTAGTTTATACAGTTGTATTTTTGTCCAGCTTTGTGAGCAGCAGAATTTATTATGTATCCAGAAAGCCAGCTGCTGTAGAGCCAGTGGGTCCTCTCATTCCACCAGGACACAAAGTAGCTTTTGAGCCCCTTTGGGGGTTTGAATAGTTGTTGATTTTGAAGTGTGATGGCTCTCCAATCTCACTTCTATTTGCCAGTCTAAAGTGAGTGCCATGGAAGTTGAACCACGGAGTCACTGGGATTGCTTTTATCACCTGTCTCAGATCCTGCTGTCCCACCATTCTCCACATTGTCTTCAAGAAGCATAATCTCAGTAGAAATCAGTATTTCACAGGATACAGTAAAATTGCAGACTTTCCATGTGCTAATTTTCCTTCTCTTTTCTTTTTAACCTGTCTTGGTAATAGATAATAAAATCCTCATCATTTGGTTTGCCAGCTGATCAGCAAAAAAACCCAGCAGAGGATCACAGAGTAATTCAGATAAGAGGAGGCATTCAAGATCATCCAGTCCAATGCCAACCCAGCACCACCATAACCACCCCAAAGCACATCCCCAGGTGACACATCCAGATGCCTTTTGAACACTTCAAGAGCTGGTGACTCCACCACTTCCCTGGTACCTAATTAGTCTTGTAGTGAGAATGCCTAACTCACCAATGACAAATTAGTCTGAAGTGAAAAGATTTTTCCTAATATCTAATGTGAACCTCCCTGGCTGGACTGTCCAGCTTCGTATAGATAGTTTGGAAAGCCTAAGTGGGACAGATTAGACTATACCTATAGTATATCAGTTTATGTCACATCACAACTGGGAGAGATTTGGCCTCTATGAGTAGAATTGCCTCATAAAATCATGAGCAGTTATGAAATCACTTGGTGGAAACTGCTGCCAGAAAATTCATCTATTAGCAGTGCTGGACCACAACCACATGTACCCTGACAGAAGTTTCCACTTTCTCCCTCCCTCCCTGCCTAGTCACAGATCTAGAGGTCTGTGATCAGGAAATCCCTGTATGTGCTGATCCTGTTCTGAGATTGTGTTTTCTGGCCTCTGAGCCCAGGCCCGGTTGACATCTGCTGGGCTGCACAGCTCTGAATTTGATTGAGATTATTCTGATGGAAAACAAAGAAATCTATTGAGGGGCTTTATACCTGGAGCTCTTGAGAAGGAAATTTTGGAATTAAAATTTGTGGGATGAGTTTTTGAAGAGGATAAATTAATCTTACTTTTTACCCAGTTATGTTATTTCACATTCTTGCGAATTCAACATACAACAAATCAAACTGGTAGACTCTCACTTATATTTCAAATCAGTTAAATTTGTAAAATGTCTATAGACATATATTTCTCTGCAGCAAGTCAAGTTTGAGTCTAAATGATACAATACATTTTGCATTATGAACCTCATAAACAGATCTATGAGAAACACTCTTGTGAGACTGTCTGGTATTGTAGCAGGATGCTCCACCCTGAATGTGGTTGTGCAGCTCAGGTAATGCCCTATTTTCAAGGCTGTAAGTAGTGGACTGAGGGGATGTCTCATGCTGTTTTGGTGCTGAATTATGCTAAAACCAGTCTGGCTCCTTAATAGTGGCAGGTATGGCAAAGGACCTTTGTGTAAATATGCTGAGCTGTCTGGAGGTATATGACTGACAATGAACCACTTTATACTGTAGAAGTCCAGTTCCACTTTCAATTGGACAGATTCTTCTGTTATATCCCTTCCTGGAGTGTGTGTGAGGATCCTCCCTTGAGTGGGGATGCCTCAAAGTTACACCTTGAGTTTGGGTGAAAGAGATTTTGTTCATTGTCATTGGTATTGGTGGCTTCATCAATCTCTAATAATTGTTTCTCTTTGCTAGCTTTAATATAATTGCTTTGCTATAGTGCCTTATCCTGTTTTATACTCTGCTATACTTGTAGTTTTAGCTTCTGTACTCTAGCAAATAATTCTGATAAAGATCATTTGTCTAATCATTTATCATAATAAATCATCCATTTTTATATAACTATATCTGGTTTGCCATCCTTAAACCTGCTGGAAAAGGTTGTACAAAGGCTCAATCACACCTCTATAATTCCTTAAACCAATCTGGGGCTAAGATTGGATCCAGCTGCCCCCAGGCTCCCCTCTGAGCAGGAGTTTAGAAAGGAAGGGACTCCCTTCTGCACCTTGTGACTCAACAGGAGGGTTTCCCTAATAAACTTTGTCTGAAGCTCCCACCTCACCCTTGACAGGTGTGTAGATGTGAGGTTGTAGTAGCCTGTTAAACACTTGAGATAAAAAATGTTGAAATGTAATTTCTTTGTTGATTTGTCTATCCAAATTTTGAGTAATTCTTTAATACATTTCAGATGTAAGGTCAGAAAATACAGAGAATATAACATGAAGATTTGCAAGGTTTTAACAATACTGTAAAATAAAAAAAAGCTGTAGGCTGCTACAGTGTAATGAGGGTTCATCCTTCAGTTCATGAAGTTCTGTGGGAAAATGAGTCTGTGAGTACAAAGACCATGTATTTCTAAGTCCATGCTTCAGAAAACACATGTTGGTATTAGCAATTCTGAGAGAAACCATGATATTATTCTTGCAGGGCAAAGCAATATTTGTAACCTCTTCACGCAGACTGTCCTTGGAGATGCAATTTTCTTCATTGTTTAATTTTAACCAAATACATTATACCAAGTTAATTTTTTTTGGTTGTTCTCCTTCTGGGATCAGATGGTGTTTCCCCTTGTGAGATATCTAATGAACATCATTTAGCAAATAAGACATGGAAAATTTTTCAGGGCTTTCCATGAGCCTTCTATATAGTCACTAGTAATTAACATGATTTTCCACTATATCTTTATTGAAATTGAGTATCTGTTTCATGATATTAATCTTTCAGCTGGGTTGAATTTTGCTTTCACTTTCTACTGAACAAGAATCCCTGAAGTTTTGTCTGTGCTATAGCCCCACCTGCCCCTGGTTCTGCATGACTGGAAATTTGGAAATGCTGGTAACATGTTTTCCCAGTGGATACAACTCATTATGTATTTCATCCTGACTAATTTCATCCATATAAAAAGTTTGTTATCTGATTGAAGTTCCTGCTACAATCAGTGAAGACTCTGAGGCTCCTTTAGAGAACAATTTAACCTATCATAATGTTGAAATGTCTGGAATAAGCTGGGTGCTGGCTGTATTTCTCTACATTCACTCAGTATGAAGGACATCCAGAGGGCTGGTTTTATCTGAGTATCCCCATTTAAGAGACTGAAATTAAGTCAGGAGCTCTGAGGGTTTGAAGGCCAGACTACATGACTTGCTCAGTCCATGACTAAATAACAATATTATATATTTGCTAAGACACATTCAGTACTCCTACCTATTTAAGCCACCTTCTGTTCTGTGGGTCCTGTCTGTAACTGATTTCTCCCAAATTAGTTGAAGACAAGCTGCTAGGAATGCTCTGTCTGTCTGTCCCACAGGATCCCTGCTCTGTCCCTGATCTTCCTCACACTTTCTCTTCTGTGCCTCAGTCTGGATGTGGCCAGGATGGGAGCACAGGGAGGTGCCATCCTTTGCCATCCTTTGATGGTGGTACAGGAACCCTGCACGTGCAGCCCAGCTTGCCCCACATCTGACCAAGAGCACAGTGTTGTTTTATTGCATGGGCTCTGACATGTGCAGCAACACAGGGTATAAATGTAAAAGTGCACTCAGCTTCCAGGCAAACCCTTGGATGGTGCATCATGGCTGATTAGCGTGAGCCTTGCCTTCACATCTTCTTGACAACATGTTCTTGCTTACTGCACTGGAATGAAAGGGTAGACCCAGCCTTCCCATATGGGGTGCATATGCTGTAAAAAGGCAATTTTGCTGAATCGGCTCAGTAGAGTAAATTGCAAAGGCATGACGCCGATTATCTAAATGGGAACACTGGCCTGAAAATTAATAATGTAACTTTACAGGCTCATTTGCTGCCCAGGTGAATTTCACTAGAGGGGCTTCAAGCAGTGAAAGTGCACGTGCATGTGATATATAAAATGCACCTGTTCAAATAATGTTTCTTTTCCTAGATGTTATATTACTGGGGCATGGAATAATTTCACTTTTAAAAAATCCTACCCCAATTTAAATGCCTCCCCCTTACACCCTGCTCTCTTGTTGATCCTAATAAAAATGTCTTCATTGAAGGAACAGGTTATTAGGGAAACAAATAAACTGCCCATAGTCAGGAGTACATATAAAACATTTTTCATGCACACATCTCAAAGCAATTTGCAGTAAGAGGGCATGTATCATATTTTGCACATGGTGAAACTAGAAATTCAGAGACTCAAGAAGAAAGCTATCACAGAAGACTTAAAATAAAGTGTTCTATTTTTTCCCTAGCATTTATTTTCCATAGTGCATATAATGTCTGTGAACAAATGTAATTGTTTAAAGAGTCTCTTTAATGTGTACAGAAGTACTGGGAGGGGTAGGTGACACAGGAAAGGGGGAATGGTTTTTGCTCAAGTTTTGATTACTCTGAGTTCAGTAATACAATCAGTTCCTTCCTCCTTCAACTCCTCTTTGATATATTGCTGTAAGCAGCCCATAGGAATGAAAGGGAAGTAAACCAAATTATTATTTCTCTTGATCTTCAAAAATAATGAATGCTAAAATTTTATTGCTGTATTTGTTCTTGTATCAGTCTTTTTTGGAAATTGGAATGCATCACATACAGTTTGAATGACAGATGCTCATCTATTGCATTAACATTTTTATTGTTTTCCTCCTCAGGAATGACACCTCACATTTCTGAAAGCAGAAGGATCATCTCTGCATGTTGCAAAGGGCCTGTCTTATTGCCTGTCCAAGGCTTGTAAAGGAGCAGGCATATGCTAGTAAATCTATCTGTGGCAGAACAGGTGGAGCAAAATGGGAAGTCTCTGCTTATTCTTGTACAAGGATTTGTCTTAGTTGCCAAGCTCTGTTAAATAAACTTCCAGTGTACCAAGAAGGAATTCCACTTGTACAAGAAGGCTTTTCTTTGAACCTTTCCAGGTGGGAATGTTTTCTAGTATAAGGCTCTTCTTTAATGTTCACATTGCCCAAAGGCCTCAGTCAGCACCTCTGTGCAAACTCCATAAGGCATAATCCCTGCCTTAAACACCTCACGGTCTGAGCACACAGCAGTGCTGGACATGGAGTGAGCCAATGGATGTCACCAGGTGACAGCTGCCTCTCTTACTGGGTCCAGACACTTCTTTCATTAATTCAGTGATCTTATGTATTTAGTTTTGGTCTCTGGTGTCTGGCAAGGAAAGGGCAGGAGGCTGGAAATATCAAGAATGAGGACATGGAACAGAAGACCACTGCCAGAAAATGAGGAACAACACGGGGGAGAACAGAAGCCATTCTGTCAGGAAAATAAAATCCCTGTTAATTTTCAGGTTTCCACCACTTGTTTTCAGAGGCAACAACATCCACTGGGATAGAGAACAAAGGAGGCAGATATCTTGTCTTGAGTTCTTACTGGTTATAATTTTTCTGTTTCCTTCTTATGGATGGTCTGAGGTCTAAAATGTCTTATGAGAAAGTCGTGAAGAGCTCAGAGAGAATCCAGAAGGGCAAAATGGTTATAGTCTTGTAATACTACAGGAACCAGAATATCTTCAGAGACCTTATGACCTAGAGCTAGTGAGGTTAATTTTAAGCTTAGGATCTCTAGGACATGCAAACAACTTTATATTTACTCATTAAAGCACATTATCATCCCTTGCTTTACTACTTCATCAGAATTTTTTTCTTCTGGCTGTAATGCCACCTCTCTCTTGCCCATCTTCCATGAGGAATGCCACTGAGAGGTTTGGCCGCATGACAGAACAAAGAGAGATAAAGAAAACTGAGATGGTGACATAATTCACACCAACCTGAACCTGGAGGCCACTGCCCAGCCCTTTTTCCTCTGCTGAAAAGACAACACACCTGTAGATAATGTCTCCAGAGCTGTCTGGAGCATGCATATGCAGCTGGTTAGAGAACAGGCACACATATCTGGATGGAGGGGAGGCTGCCAGCCCAATTCAGCCCAGCATTAGCCCAGCCCAG